GAACTGGCCAAAGTCGAGCTTATCGTACAATTACTTGATCAAAGCTTTCAAATGCTTGTGCTCTGCTTCGAGTATGGTTGTTTCTTCAAAAGCCAGCAAGCACACGCTTTAACCCACCAACCAAACGTTAGTTCGAAACGCATTTGGTCTTCCATACTACTGCAACTACTGCAGCAACTAATGCAAGAAGCTCCTTATAATTATCCTTTTTCTTACGAAATCCGATTGATCTCTATCTGTTTCTCTGCTGTGTAGGAATCATTCATCAGTTAACGCTTAAACGAACCACCATACAACACATATCGTCGACAAGTTGTAACGTATACGCAATCTTTTCGCACCACACAATCAGAATAGAATATAAGAAAAGAAAATTAAATCCATGAGAAATATTTTCTATTATTTTTGCGATGTAATAATAATTGCGCGTATATTATAATACTAAAGATAATATAAGTACATATATCATTTATAATCAACAGTCAAACGTTGTTACATACCCAACGATAAATCGTTCGTAAATGATGAAAAATGATATGACCCATTTAAAAAACAAAAAAAAGGGGATGGAGAGTTAAATGAACGCAAGCAAGAGGGTCAAAAATTTGTCGTACGAGATCGAGAAAAAAAAAATAAAATAAAATAAACTAAAAAGAGAGAAAAGGAGGAAGGAAATAATACGTTTATCGACATAGTTCGTAATCCGAGCATGAAAAGGACCATTTCACCACCATTCGTCTGATTACGGATTTCACCAAACGACCTCCTCTTACACCGCATAAAACCTTTATTCTTTTCCCTTGGACGACGACGGATTAATCAGACGAAATCACGTCCCTTATTTCCACCACTCATTTCGCGATTAATTAATCCTCCACGATTAATCACCCGGATATGCGCTTTTCATCATCGGCCAGTAACAGCAGCAGCAGCAGATCGTTTTCAAGTTAACTTTCCTCTTCCTATCATCGAACAGGGGAGAGAACGGGGGGTGAAAAAGGGGTGTAGAGATGTAAGGGGAATTAACGAGAACGTTTGCATCGAACTTCGAGAGTTTTAAAGAGAAAAGGAAAGATCTACAAACTGAGGGAAAGAAAAGAAAAGAAAAGAAAAAGTAGGGGATAATCGAGAGAGAGAGAGAGAGAGACAGAGATTTAATAATAAAAAAGAAAAAGAAAAAATATAAAAGTTTTTAAATAGGTTACGAATTTTATGCAACAATAACTGACCAAGTGAATATTATAATCGTCGTCTGTGTAATAGATTGAACAAAATTCTAAGATAATTTCTACGAGAATGTTCAACTGGTGTGTTTATATTACTAATAGTAAGTAATATTATATACTTTTTACACACACAACAGTTTGTTTGAATGTTTTATAAAGAAAAGTAACGTCAATTATTATCGCGTTATTTTTCTGCAAATATGTATATACGTGCATGCATACAAATGCATATGCATTGATAGGGATGTAGACGTAATGAAAACGAGTAAAATATAGTGTTAGTATATAAATGATCTCTTTCTCTCTCATTCTCACTCATTTCTATCGATCGCGTGGTTTCAGTGTCGATTTTAGCAGGGTAACGTTTACAGAGATTTTCTCGGAATATATCCGACAATTCGATAACTAATTAGTTTTATTGCTCGAACGTTTTATAATTTCAAATCCATTTTTGTTACAAAACAAAAATGAAAGAGAAAAAGAGAGAGAGAGAGAGAGAGAGAGAGAGAGAGAGAGAGAGAGAAAACAGTGTGAGAGATAAAAGAGAAAAAGAGAAAGATAGAACGATAAGAAGATAGAGGGAAAAAATGTAATCTATGTAATGCTACATATTGTGGATATATTATATAACACGTATTTTGAAAGTAATAACGCATACGATTGGATTGCAATACTTTTATACACACACGAATGTAAAAATAATATATATTTAATAATTGGATAGATCTGGATTGAATGATAGATAAAAATCTTATATAAATAGGTGAAAAAAGGTTTGAATAAATATGAATAATTGTGTGTTATCTAAATTCTTAAGGATATATAATTGAACGTTCATAATAAGGAAAAATCTAATGTGCAGAAAATAAATGATTATGCATTTATACATTATAGTAACTATGATTATTATGGGTTTACATATCGTAGAAGTAATCCTAAATAGATATGAACGATTGCGTGCGTGCAATTAAAATGATTAATCTCAATGGTTATTGATAAATCATGAAACAACGATACACACACACACACACACACATACGTTTATATCGTCGTCATTCTTTCTCTCATCACTTAACCACCAATAAATCCAATTTTCTCGAACAACGTTACCCCATTGTATTTTTTTCTTTTTATTATATTTATTTATTTATTTTTCCCCCCTTCTTTTTTTATTTTTTCTTTTCGTTTCGTCCAACCAACCTGTAGAAAATGAGAGCAAACAACAGATTGGGGGACCGAGAAAAAAACAAAAAAAAAAAAAAGAAAAGAAAAGCAAATCAATAAATAAAATATAACAAGTAACGTCAAAGTAATGCAAGTGTTGTTGATCTCTGTCGTAAAAATCTTTTTGTTGATTTTTTCTTTGTTGTTGTTGTTGTTGTTGTATTGTGAGACAAGACGATGAGGCGTTTAAAATATTTCCCCTTTTCCCTCCACCAAAGTTTTTCCATTCATCGAATCAAAAAACCCGTATTATCCCCGACGAAATACAACAATCTTCAAACGAGATTATCGTGCAAAGCTTAACTCCGCTTTTATTACAAAAGAACGAGTTAAGCGTTTGGAGAGAGAGAGAGAGAGAGAGAGAGAGAGAGAGAGAGAGAGAAAGAAAGAAGGAAAGAAAAAGAAAGAAAAAGAAAGAGAGAGAGAATAGGATGGTGGAGAGAAACCTATCATTTGTTGGCTTGCCAAGCAAAGAAAAATAAAAAGAATAAGAATAAGAAGAAGAATAAGAATAAGAAGAAGAACGAATCGACCCAAGCAAAATTCGCTCGAACAATTTATCATTCGAGAGATTAATTTCAAATCCCCTATTTATTTGTTTTTTTAATCTTTTAAAAATATTAACAACAACAACAAGAATAAAAATCTCAAAATCTCGAAAATCTTTCTTCTATTCGGGGGATACGATAGAAAAAGTTTTTCTTTTATTTATAATCGAAAAAAAAAAAAATGAGAAAAGAAGAAGACTTTTATCGAACAATCTATAATACTAATATATCGTTTGAAGACGCGATTTATTAAATAAATAAATTTAATCGACGCTATATAAAAAGTTTAATCAGTCTCTCTTTCTCTCTCTCTCTCTCTCTCTCTTTCTATTTCTCTCTTTTTCTTTCTATCTTTGTTAACTTTTAACGTATGTATACCGGTTTAATGCGTAGAGTGCCGAGAAGAGAACAATTAGCCGATGAGAACACCCACGTTTAACGCAAGTACGAATGAGAGTGAGTGTGAGAGTGTGTGAGAGAGAGAGAGAGAGAAAACACAATAAAGTTTATTTGAGCGTGTGTGAGAAAGAGAGAACGATAAAGTGTATGAAAGAGAGAGAGAGAGAGAGAGAGAGAGAGAGAGAGAAAGAAAGAGCGATAAAATGTATGTATATATATGTGTATGTATGCCTGAGAGAGAGAGAGAGAGACAAACATACGTTAATGCGTATCGTCAATGGTCACTTCTACGAATGACAATTGTTGTACGTTGACTTATGCCTCTATAAATAATCTCTACAATTTCTAACTAGATCATGTGTGTGTCAGCAAAACTCACACACAAACATGCTGATCTCGTTACGATCTAAAGAACTTTTGAGAATATTCGACGCGTGAAATGACTATAATATAAAGAAACAGATATCAAATTTATATAATACACTAGTGAATTATTAATTAAAGAAGAAAACAAAATGATTTTGTTGTTTTAATCTGTTTTTTCTTTTTTTTTTTTTTGTTCCTGAAAGAAATAAAATAACTCGCTTCATCAATAAGAAAATGCGAAATTAGTTTGCGAGTAGCGTTCGATTTGATTTCCGTTTCTTTATTAAATTTAATCTAAGATATTTTACGCGCGTGTGTGTGTGTGTGTGTGTTCTTTTTTAAATATCTTTTTCTACAAGATTCTACGAGTAAATACATTTTGAAGTATTTGCATACGTTGGGGTTGTTAAATACGTATATATATATATATGTGTGTGTATTTGTAATCTAGGTACGTTCGAAACGCGGAGTTATTTTCTTTTTTTTTTTTCCCCACAAGATAAACTTTTTTAATGCGTCGACTAATTAAAAACGTTCCCATTAGAAGTGTAAAGCGAGAGAGTAATTTATATGTATATACATATATGTATATGCGTACGTATACTTGTATAAGTAAGTAAATGTATGTAAGTAAACATTTGTGTAGCGAAATTTATAACATTTTTAAATATATCTGTCGGTTTGTAAAAATGATGAAGAAAGTGGTAAAGAAGAAAAAGAAGAAGAAGAAAAAGAGATATAATATAAAATAAAGAAACAGTAAAATTAAACGTTGATGAATAAATAAATAAATGATGATGTTTCTTTGATCACAGGTGGTTGAGTAAACATTTTTTATTAGTACTGATCATAAAAAAATATTAATATTCATTCTGATTTATATCAATGTTTACTTTAATGCAAATGAAATGCAACAACTATTATCTATGTTACTAACAATAAGATAAAAAGAATAAATGAAAATATTTATAAATGGACTATTATTAAAACGATTGACAAACAATTAAAATTACTCCACTTGTTGAATATTTTATTGTAAATTATATTAAAAATAAATTTCTCTGAATGGTTTAACATTAAACCTATCACGTGAGATCAAACAATCGTGTAATGTAATTAGTAAAGATACGGTAAAAAAATGCATTATACGAAGTGTCGATAGGTTTAGTGTTAAAGTAAAAAAATGATTGACCAGAAATATAGATAATAGTAATAAAAATAAATAAAAAAAACTTACGGGAGCGGCTGGGTGTCTCGCCGGCGCGGGGTACATCTTAATTGTTTTTGACTAGTTTTTCACGAGTCACACGTTTACGGAGTGTCCTTCTTCTATGGTCACTTCATGGGCTCCATTATCCAGTTCGAATATTTTTAGCATCATCTTGACGACCCACGATGAATTCCATTAGTTTTTCCTTTATTTCTATTTTTTTTTCTTCCTTTTTTTGATATATTATTATATATTATTAACTCGCGATAAAAAATAAAATATCTCACTTGAAACACACTCGCGTTGTTTTTGATAATATTCTTTTTTATTATTATTTTTTCTTGTTGTTTTTAGTCCTCCGCGAAACTTTTAAACTTGCGTTGCACTGTCTTCTTCTTTATTCTTATATATAAATAAATCACAGTGTTGTTGTTGTTGTTGTCGAAGTTGTAAATTTTTCTCTCTCTCTCTCTCTCCCTCTCTCTCTGAATTTTTAATCCATCGTAATCACAAGTTTTCGTACGATCACCTATATATTCAACTATTAAAAATATCTTTAGAGAATTTATTAAAAAAAAAAAAAAAACAAAACAAGATATTATTTTCTTTTTCTCAGCTTATTTAATATTAAATAATTATATATAATATTATATATAATTTATAAATAATTATAAATAATTATATTTATAAATCGCATTTGCCAAGGTGTGCATAAACAACAATAAATATTCATATATCGTTCGAACGTTTAGAAAGCAAAGAAAACTTATGGTCGCGTTAATAAGTATAATATACGTAGGATTTCTAAAACACATGATTGATATAATACGATTAGAATCTTTTCAAATCTTATTTCTTACGATAGAAATGAACGAAAATAATCAAATAAAAATCTCGAAGATATTTGTTCAGAGTATCAGACAAAAAAAAAAAAAAAAAGAAAAAAGATAAAGAAAAGAAATGATTTGTCGATTAAATATTGAAATGTTAAATTAAAATTCTCTCACTCTCTCTCTCTCTCTCTATCTTTCTCTTAAACGAAATCACGAAGTCGGGAGAAATTATGGTCAAATTTGCGGTGTGGAGAAAAAGGAAGAAAAAAAAACTGAGATAAAAAGTTTGCAATAGACGCGAGAGTAAAAGAGACAAAGATATAGAGAGAAGGGGTAGGGGGGGGGAAAGAAGAAAAAGAAAAAGAAGGAAAGAGTGAGAGAATGAACTTTCACCCATACCCATATATACCCATACCACCCACCCATACCCCCATAGCAGCAGCTATTATTGTTATCCGTTCTCGCGCTTTTAACGGAGCGCCATTACATATACATGACGCGTCATTACAAGCTCTTTGTAACCGGGAGCGATGTTTCATGTAACTCGAAAATGGGGTCATGTAACTCCGTTAACATTCCATTCTACGGTCTCATAACGCATTTCGGGCTGAACGCGAACGACAAGTAATAGCGGCTAGTACTACTACATTGTGAAAAATAAAAATAAAAAAGAAAGATAGAAAAAAAAATAGTCAAAAGCGAATACTAAATTAATAAAGTATAGTATTCCGAGAGGGTGATTGCAAGGGGGTGGAAATATCTCGCGAAGTAAACTCGAACCTGTTACCCAATATCGATTCGCTATAAGTGTTCTAAGGAAAATAATATCGTATAAATGTTTTTTTAGTTTGTATATAATTTTACTTAATTTATTTTTCTCCTATATTATTTATTATATTATGTTTTTTTTTTCTACATTTCCGTGTAAAAGAATTTTTAAAAACTTTGTATTACAATGAAATATAAATTATTTCAAATTAACATTAAAGTAATAGCAAGTACAAATGAATACTCATGTAATTCACTGTAATACGTATATATACGTGTATGCAAATTAACACGTTTCGTGATGTCCCGATTATAGGAAACTTTCCATTCAGACCGTATGGGACGAATACGTTCCACGTCTTACGATTGCATTGTTTTAATTCTGACGTATGTCTTGCAATCGTTTAAATAAATACAAATATCATAATTAGGAATAAAAAAAAGTGTATTCAACTTTTGTATTTTACAATTGAAAAATAATCGAATGAAAAGGAAAGTAAAGTAAAAAATGGGGAATAAGGAACGTGTTATAATTCTAATCTATATTCCTTCTTATTGAAATATAAAGAATAATAGATAAATAATAATAATAATCTTTATCATATATATAATAACTGAGAAGAATCGTTATCTAACATTTAACGCGAGTAACTTGCGATGACCGTCAAGATAAGATCGATACGTGTTTTTTAAACGAGCATATATTTTCTATCTACTACCTTTATGGATATAATAACGGTACGAAAACGGACGAACGAACGAATGAATCTTTAATCTTTGATCTTTAATCTTGTTAGTGGAACCTAATTTGTTAAACGAGTATAAACTCGAATAATACTTACATTAACATATACGTGAAACAAACAAACATACAAACAGAAATATAATTATGCGATTAAGGAGAACGTATAAGAAATAAAACGATACGTCATTCTTGATATCTTATAAAAAAGAAAGAAGAAAGAAAGAAAGAAAAAAAAAAAAAAAAAAAGAAACAGAATACATTAAAATGTTAATTTCATTCTCCGTGACGTCGTCGTACGTGTAACTCGTATCCTACGCAAACAGTTGGATACTTCATTGCATCGTTTTTTTTTTAATTATAACAATTAAACAAATAACTAAATTTTTTATTTCAATTTCAAATTGAATTTCAAAATGGAACGGAATAATAATATGCTATATTCTATATTACAGTATATTTAAAAAAGTAAAAAAAAAAAAAAATACTTTTAAATTAAATGACATCTATGTATCGTAATTACCTATTCAATTATCTATCATTTTGTTTTTTCCCTACAAAATTACACGTATTAAAATAATTATCAAATTATACATAAAAAAATATCGAAAATATTTTTCTATAAATTAATTAAACGTTAATAAAAACTTTTTAAGTATAATAAATTTCCTATTCCACAATTATAAAATGATACTTGTGTTTTATGCGTATAAAAAAAAAAAAATCATCTCGATCGCAATAAATGTTCATTAATTGAATAAAATAAAATAAAAACTAGTAACAAAACAACCCGTACACACACACACACACACACACACACACACACATAAATGCATACATAAATAAATAAATATACAATCAACCAGTCAACCAACCAACCAACCAACCAGTTAGACAGACAGATAGACAGACCCATAAAAGGGATAAAGAAATATGATATTCTTCCTCATACCGATCGAGAGAAATCGATGGGGATCGATCGGTCGGTCGATGATGGCGAAGGGCCAACTCAGGGACACAAGCAGACAAACACCATACTCTGTGTGGCTACAATATACTAGGGGGACGAACAAGTCACGAAGAAAGTTATCGCGAATCTCGTATAATCGCTTTCGAGATCCTTAACCACGCGATCCTCGTGATTTCTTCAATCCTAACTTTCCCCCCCCCAACCACCCGAATTTCTCCCCCAAACCCCTAAACCCCCACCTCCTTCTTTCTTTCCTTTCTTCCTTCTTTATTATTTTTCTTTTTGATCGTTATCGCGACGAGTATGCATCCGGGGAAGGGGGAAGGGAAAAGGGAAAAGGGGGGTTGGTATGAACAGGGGGTATGCGCGCGCGTTCACGAATACGAGTACGAGCCATGGGCTTTTTAAAGGATTCTCCACACCGTAAACGTGCATGGCTATTTAAGGAATAAAACGTTGGTTGATTTAATAACGACCGATAGTTACGTATATTCACGCCTATTCGTTTAGAATCCTTTTTGTTTTTTATTTGTTTTTCTTTTCCTATTATTTTATTGTAATTTTCTTTTTTTTCATGACTATTATCTCCGATCGTGCGAGTATGGATAGGTAGACTAGATACGTGTGGAATATACACCTGTCGAATAAACAATAAATCATCCATCGCGTGCATACATATTATGTATTATATATATGTATGTGTGTGTGTGTGTGTGTAGACGCGCTTATACGATTCATCCATTTATTTGTCTCTATATTATTTGTCTATTTATCTATTTAATTATACTAAACTATATGTTTATTTAAATGCACGTTTTGAATGCACGTTTTGAATGCACGTTTTGAATGCAATTTCTACTGAAATATGAATAAGTGTAATAATTTAATTAACGTATTAATTTTGAAAAAATAAGTAATATTTATTAAATATTATAATCATTCGAAATATCTGTGGTAACAATTTCCAAATTCTTCTTTTAATACCATTCGTAAGATACAAATTTCAATTTCAATCACGTTCGAAATAACGAAAAATAACAATCATTTATTTACTGGAATAATAATAAAGCGCAAATATTTGGTTACATTGTTTGTTGATTGTTGTTTTACAATCGATTTCACCGCACCAACCCGTTGTTTTTTTTTATATTTTTCCTAACACCTACCGGGTATGGCTAATAAATCTTCTAATTCAAACGTTTATTTTCGTAATATCACTTCTCGTAATAATATTCCGACGTGTAACCAACGTGGAAGAACGATGAATCGTTTCGAAATAATCCTAGCAATTTTTTTTAACCCCCTACCCTCTCTCTCTCTCTCTCTCTCTCTCTCTCTCTCTTTCTCTCCCTCTCGATGAATATTTAAACGTTATTATATTTGAGAACGTAAACGCCCCATTTTTATTCTCTATCTTCTCTCTCTCTCTGGTTTTTTTTTTTTTAATCCTTTGATAAACGGTAAACAGTTAACAGAAAAAACAACACATACATAAAAATACAAATTATTTCCGTTTAAACGTATCTGTAACCTGGTTGCATTCCATCCACGAGATTGTAATTGCAAAGCTACAAATGTTTACTTTTCAATTAGCACTCAAATTATAACACGCAAAGAGTGTGTGTGTGTGTGTGTGTGTGAGAGAGAGAGAGAGAGAGAGAGAAATGTTTGAATATAAAAATAGTTCGAAAGATTAAATAATCTACGTTGAATGAAAACAAAATTTATATTTCATTCGATCAAACGTATGTTATATTCTACAAACGAAAAATCGTTCCGATTAATGCGTTATAATATCTTTATATTTGAAATTACAAAAAAAAAAAAAAATAATAATAATCATTATTAATAAAGGATTAAGATTTTAAAAAATACAATGTGTGTTAGTTAAAAATCTATGATATTCGATATATCATTCTATCTCGATTGAAAAACAAATCTTCACAGTTTAACGTTGTTTTATTGTATTGTTTTTTTTCTCTTGTTTCTTTCCAATAAATAATTTACATTTACATAGACTATAATTATCGAGAATTGATTCCGTGAAACGTTATTAAAACAAAAAAAAAAAGAAAAAAAAAACATAAAATAAAAGGAACGGGAAGAAAGATCGATGCCTTCTTCGATCTATCGATCTTCCATCGTAAAAGCGTTAATAATCGTATTACGCGTTGTCGATAATCGAGGAACAATAGGGTCGTTTATAAAGGCGGAAAAGAGGCGGAAGAGGAGGAGGAGGAGGAGGAGGAGGAGGAGGAGGAGGTGGTGGTGGAGGTGGTGGAGAAAGAGGTATACGAGATAAACGATAAAGATCGAGGTAGAAAAGAGTCGACTTATAAGAACCATTCTTTGGTGACCTCGCGTGCAAAAACAAGGCACCGTACTGTCATGACCGTTTCGAAGTTTACGAAGTGGGAAAGGGAAGAAAGGAAATAAAGCGTGGGGAAAAAGAAAACTGTATAAAGAAAGAGATAGATGAATAGATATATAGATAGATAGATAGATGGATAGATGGACGTAAAGAGAAAGAAGGAAACGCGGATTTACGAACCGATAAGCGCGATTAGTTTAGCAATAACAAAATGGATTTATTTCATCGTGAGAATATGCAACGAGTTATTATATCTATCGTTCGAACGTGTATTTTTTTTCAACTTTCTACGCGTGCGCAAGTTAAATTTAAATCTATTAACAAAAACAAATGAAAATATAATAACTACATGAGAATGTGTGAATCGATAGGATAAATAAATATATATTATAAATGTAACGTGATAAATATAAATAAATCAATTGAATTAAATATATTATAAACGTATATGTATAATTAAATAAATAAATTCATTAATCTATCTGTGAAATCAATAAAACAAGTATTATAATAATAAGTAAAATAATAGAAAAATAAAAATAAAATTGTATGAATTAAATCCAAAAAAAAAAAAAGAGAAAAAAAATAGTTAGAAAAAAGTTATTATAGTCTGGAATGATTTAACGAGACTAGAATGCCAATTCACGATCATCGTCGGTCCCCACTGAATATTTTCTCTCTCTCTCTCTCTCTCTCTCTCTCTCTCTCCTTCTCTCTCTCTTTCTCAGGCTTTTAGTCGCTTACTTTAAGGCGTGCGCGTTTTATCTATCTATCTCTTTCTCTATCTATCTATCTATCTATCTATCTATCTATCTATCTATCTATCTATCTACCTATCTATTTATCTATCTATCTATATCGTTCTCTCTTTCGCACTAACACCGCCTCCATACCACTTTCCAGTAATCTACTACTCTCGCAGCTGTTGGTCCTGGTTGTACGTGCTGGCAGGCGGCACTACTTAATAAACCGACGAGGAGGAAAGATTCCAAGCAGCTTTGCCAGCTCGTTACATTATCCCTTTTCCGGACGAAATTGTTGTTCGAGTGTAACTAAATATAACGATTCATTAAGAAATAATTTCTTATTTTTTTTTTTTTTTTCTTTTTTTTTTTCCCCCTAAGATAACTGTCCTCTTTATGCAATTATTTATCTCTCCTCGTTCATTTGATTTCTCCGTTCGATTTTATTTACTTTTTTTTTTCTTTTTTATATAGTCGTTCATTAAAATAACGTATAATATTGTATATATAATCGTTTTACAAATGATACGAAAATTATTCGAAAGAAAAATGTTATAAAAAGTAATTTTTACTTCATCCTTTTTTTTGTTTTGATTTAAATTGACAGAGTAATTCATTGAGGATAAGGTAAAAGTTTAACTTCTTTTATTTCTTCTAGAATATTAAATAATATAGAAAGAAGAGAAGGAAAAAAAAAAGAAGAAAAAATAGAAATAAAATGAAGAAAAAGAGAGAGAGAGAGAGAGAGAGAGAGAGAGAGAGAGAGAGAATGGGGCAAAGTAGCGGAGCAAACTAACGAGGGAGGCGGGAGATAAAATAAAATTGCTAAGTAACTTTGTTACTTGGAAAGTTGCACGAGTTACGATACTCTCTAACACACAACGGTTGGGATATTTAAACCGAGTGAAAATATTTGGCACATATGTATCTATCTATCTATCTATCTATCTATCTATATCTATGCATACATACATACATATACTTACTTACTTACGCGTTAACGATAACTTGGTAATGCACGTGCATTATCGTTTTGCACGCACGAGATAATCGAATATTCTTTTTTTCTCTCTTTTCTTTTACCGCGATTACGGACTATAATAATGGTTGGTTAGTTGTAACGAAAACAAATAATAAAAAAAAAAGAAAAAAAAAAAAAGAAAAGATTATAACAGAAAAAAGAGTAAAAAAAAAAAAAAAAAAAAGTAGAGGTAAAAAAAAATAATGTTAATTCGTGCTCGACGATGACTAATATATATGAAAATAAAATTGTCGTACGTAAAATAAAACGTTAACGTTAATTTGTAACTACTTTAACCAAAGGAAATAAATTTTCACGATATAAATACACTTGTTGCGAACGATTGAGAAGAGCCCGCTAGCTAACCTACTGAACTAAACGAATTAAGAAACCATCGATGTTAAGTGGAACCCACGCTCTGGGACTTGGACGAAACGTTAAAGACGATTGAAATTGGAGCTCACGAAAGGAGGGACGAACGAAAGAACGAACTAAATAACGAATGGAACAAATGGACAAACGGACTGATAAAATTAATCTCACTCTTTCTCTCTCTCTCTCTCTCTTTCTTTAAGTTTTTAGTATGTGTTAATTTTTCCTTAATCGAATATCATTTAAACATGTATACACATTTCTGTACACATGACTGCATATGCATGTATATATAATGTGTTGTGTATACACGTATATGGTATATCAATGATTGATATTATTAATACAAGATAGATAAACAAACTATATGTAAAATCCATAAATATATATTATATATATATGTGTAATAAATAGGTAAATAATACGTATGCAGTTATCCGAACGATTACATTTAGTATTTGCGACGAATTTGCGAGGTTAAATGACAAAGCGAGTCATCAAGATTAAACTCGACGTTAATACGTATGCGATAGGATCTACGATATTTGTAATTAACAGAGACGATATATATACACATATATACAAATACAAATACATATAGAAATATAGATATAGATGTGTAGAATCGCAAGGAATAACAGGAGGGAAATTACGTGTTTCCAACTAGCGGTGTATATGCATTTCTCATTGTCGCGCGTGACCATAATCATATTCATCGTTCGATGCGTCGCCATTCTCGATCGATTTTTTTCACTTCGATCTTTTTCATTTCGATTGTTAGCCTCCTTTTCAACGACAAAAAAAAAACGCTAATTAGCTTGCCAAAATGTGTGTATGAATAAAATGAACAAAAAAATAAAAAAGGGTAGAAAAAACCGGTTCGAAGGTAAATGGTTGAGTAACGATCGATGTAAATCAACGATGAATGCACGAAGAAGAAAAAGAAGAAGCAGAAGATGATGATTTTTGAATAAAAGTCAAAACATACAAATTACAAAATAATAAAAACAGACATTACCAATTGGAATTTCGATTTTCCTTGTATGTTTCTTCAATTTTATTGTATCTCATCCAACTTATTCATTTCTTCGAGGAAAATCCTACGATTTATTATATTCGAATTAATTTCGTTATATCCACCTTGGCACAATGCGGTAAAAAATGATCAAATAAAATAAAATAAAATAAAAATAAAAATAAAAATAACAAAATAAGACAAGAAAACACACACACTCATCGAGAATACCGTCTCTTATTCTCTCTCATTCTCTCCCTCTCTTTTTCTCTCTCCACCTTCTCTCTCTCTCTCTCTTTCTTTCTCACCATGCACACACACATTCACACATATGCACACAAGGAAACAATCGAGGAGGAACACACTTGTCGATGCGAAGAGCAGGCTGCACTACCTTCGAAATGATGATACTCCTACTTATTCCTTTTCTCTTCTTATTTACCTCGCGCGTGCACCACAATAATAATATATAATAAATATATATAACACACACGGTGTTATCGAACGCGCTAATAATAATAATAATAATCGAAAGAGTGCGACAGAAAGAGAGAGAGGGAGAGAGAGAGAAAGAAAGAAAAAAAGATAGATAGATAAACAACAAGGTTGTATGCGTTTTGTATGCGTTTTGTATGCAACCGGCGCGTTCGTCGTCGTGTAATAATAATAATAAAAACTTATTATGTACGTAAGAAATAACAACACACCATTGGAACGCGCGCGCACACAGACGAACGAGCGAACGAATTATAATAGATAAATTGACATGTACCAGGTACAACGAAGAGTACCTTACGGCGTCCGACGCTTGACTACGAGCCGGGTAGCCAAGTGGATGACGGGGGGAACGTGTGAACGCCGTTCGTCGTCGCCGTCGCTGCCGCTTGGTGGCGTGCACTAACACGAACAGAGATACAACCAAGAGGAACCACCAATGAGAGCTCACGGTCGGCTCGCTCTCGTCGTCGACGTATATACAACCGGGAGAAAGAGAAAGAGAATGAGAATGTCAAAGAGAAAGAGAGAGAGAAAGAGAGTGAGAGAGAGAGTGAGAGAGAAGGAAACAGAGAAAGAGAAACAACGATGGCTCTCTCGCGTGCTCGCTTCTTCTCCTCCTCCTCCCAACCCCCCCCGACACTACCACTACCATCAATGCAGCCATCCACCGACTAACCGAACGTCCTCCTCAACCCCTTCACCCTTCCCACCATCCAACCAACCAACCAACCACCCCCCCGACTCACCACTCACCCCCGCCCGCGCGGCACTCCTCTCTTCTTACTCGTTTCTCGCTTCGCCTTGAGTCAAGGGCGTCGACCGATGGGGGCGACTCACCGTCGTCGTCGTCGTCGTCGTCGTCGTCGTCGTAGTCGTCGGTCTTTCTCTCTTTCCTACGATTTCGTAACGCTCTTTACTGGACGACGCTTTATGCGTGCCCTATACATAGATACATAGATAGATTTACGTATATGTTAAATGCCTTTACGTTGGGACAATTAGCCACAAATTCGATTAACTTTTCGCTCGAGTAATGTTGTTACATCCCCACCCCCTCCCTACACCTTCCAGGATAACTTTCTTATTTTCTTTTATCGATGCTTTTCGAGAATAAAATATATACATTATATTATATTTTATTACTTGTATATGTACAATTTTAATTGAATAATCTTTCATCTAAATTATTATCATCCCTAATATTTATCTCCCTAAGGAATGAACTATAATGTTCGTTGTAACAATTTAAAAAAAAAGAGATGAAAAGTCACATGGTGCTTGAGAAGCATATTAACAAATCCCTTATAGTCTTTCCTCAAAAACACACGTCATGTAAGCGTGGAATATAATACGAACGTTAGAAAATCTTTATCGACACCTCTGCTCTCTCTCACCCTCTCTATTTCTCTTTCTCTCTCTCTCTCTCTCTCTCTCTCTCAGGTTCGTCCCATCTCGCGCACTCGACACTAGTATCCACCCAGCTTCCGTCTCCTTTCCATCCACCAGGCGGATGAATTCACCGCGTTGTCGCGTCTCCCTCGCGCTCGCGTGTTTCTTAATCTTCCACCTCTCCTCTCATTTCCCCTCTCACTCACTCTCTCACTCTCTCATTCTCTTTTTTTCTCACTCACTCATTCTATCACCCTTTTTCCATCTCTCACTCACTCACTCACTCACTCACTCTCTTTCTCTCTCTCTCTTTTCCACAGCATCGTTCTTTCACTTACACTTACCCCAACGCTTCCTCCCTTTTCTTCTCTTTGTCTACCGCGTTCCAGCATTTCTCTTTCTCTCTCTTTCTCTCATACACACACACACATACACATATATGCAGTGAACTACGTGGACGCTTCCCCGCATAACATACACCCATACAAACATAGTTACGTGGATGCTTCACCATCTCTCAAATGTATACATACACAATAGTACGTTTGTCTCTCTCCAACCATTGTAATAACGAATGACAAGCTCTATCTCTCTTCCTCTCACTGGAAACTGGAAGAGAGAGAGAGATATATAGAGATAGATAGGGGGAGAGAGACAAACAGACAGACGGAGAGAGAAAGAGAGAGAGAGAGAATGGTCGAACCGTGTGCCGAATGTTACTAGGTATCGTGTTGTGTGAGATTCAGAGAAAGAGAACGGTCCGACAAGGAAAGACAGAGATAGAAACAGAAAGAGTGAGAGAGAGAGAGATGGATGAAGGATAGAGGGTGGTAAAGAAGGAGGAGATGAGTCAAAGAGCTGGAGCCGGACAACGCAAGTCAAGCGGTAACGTGTAAGGAGAGACCTCGATGTGAGTGTAACCACTGTTGAACGTGTGAGTAAAGTGAGAAAGTGTGTGCGGACGTGCGTGTCTCATCATATTACACGTTGCTCTTTCTCCCTCTCACACTTTCTCTCTTTATCTCTCTCTCTCTCTCTTTCCCTTTCTCTTTCTCTGTCTTTATCTATCCACCTATTTATCTCCTCTTTCTCTACGTGCTTGTATTCGTCGAGGGCGCGAGGAGATGAATTCCTCATTCGGTTAAATGCTTGCCTCGGAAGGGGATGTTCTAAATCAGCTTGTTCTACCTGCACCTCACTCTCTCTCTTTCTTTATACATCTGTCTCTCTCTTTTTGACCTTTTCGAAATTCCAATAGCCTCGTTCGTTTCTACTTTGCTAAACTTCTTCTCCTACTCTCTAGTCGAAGTATAGATAACTTTTGAACTGTATATTGAAACGTATAGGACATAGAACGAATGCAGGACAATCGAAACGGAAATCGACTTGGATCTTATCGAAACATGACCTTCGATATACGTAAGTGGTATGTACTCTTACTTATTGTTGGATGTATGCGTATTTGTGTATGTGTGTGTGTATTATTTTGTAAAAAGAAGAAGAAGGAGAAGAAGAGGAAAATGAAATAATAAATGCATTTTCTAAAAGTGTTGTTAATAAATAGTCTACCAACACGAAGATAATGGCACGTGTCTCTCTTCTTGGCTAGCACAGTTTCTTTCTCTATTTTCAAGTGCCAATAATCCAACCCCCTCCCGCCCCCATTTCCTCGTATTTTCGTTTCTTTTTTTTCTTTTTTCCATTTCTATTTCGAGAAGACGTGCTTCGATATATTACCGAAATCAAATCGTTTTCTGTGTACGCGTATATTTTGCAGGATTCTCGAAACGCAAATAAACTACTATGACACCTTTTTAACGACACGCGGTTTGGCCAAGTTCCGAAAACGTGGAGAAAAGTTATCAAAACAAGTTTTTTTGGAGGACTTTTATGTTTAGTGAACCACGTAGGATCTTTTCTAACCATTTGTAATGAATAAATGTTTATGCACACCTGTAAATTATCAGTTGAAACGTGAGACGTCTAACGCATCATCGTATGCACACCACAGAAATTGGTGAAAATTTTTTATTACTTTTCTATTCGATGAGAAAGATAGGAAACATGTTAAAACGCCATACATGTTCGATTGTAATTCTCCGAGTATATTATTAGGTTGTCCCATTGAATTCGCATAAAAAAAAGAAGAAAGGAACTTATGGGACAGCCTAATAAATTCATTTACATAGTTGTTTACTTTATATTGTTAGTAGCCTCTTGTGCTATTAAACCTCGATTTAGGGAAGTTCACTTTCATTTAGGAAACGTCTACTTTCCTTCCCCCAAATATAACTCATTTCCCATTCTCGAGTACCTACCACGGATTATATATACTTCGGTTTTAAGAACTTTCTGAAAACTTCTTCTTCTTCTTGTTCTTCTTCTTGTTCTTCTTCTCTTCTCGTGCTCTTTCATTCCCGTTTATTATCCGTTTAAAGCTGATTTTATAAAAGATTTACGTTTAACAAATTATAAGTTTGCTTTAGAAATATTAATGCCGATAATAAAATACATTTAACCGGTTTGTACTTGATGTATTTAATTTTTTTAAACATTTGTTGGAATTTAAAAGAATTGCAAATTCTGAATATATGACCAATAAACGTGGGAAATTTGAAAAATACGTATTGTGTAACAATTGTCAAACTATATCTCTTTGGAATAAATAATTGGCAAAATTTGACGAATAACAAGTTCGGTGTGTTGGACGTATAATTCGTATAAGAAAACTCGAATGGTCACGTTATGCTTGCGTGTTGGTAATCGAAACCTTCATTTTCGCAATACCTGTCGCTAAGTTTTATTCATATCGCCGCATTGTTAACCGATCTAACACGACGTATTCCGCTCAATAATGGCCTTTTCCCGGAAACATTATTCGGCTTTTTGTTCTGTTAATTACAAAATCGATAATTTCGAATGCATACTATTAATCGTAATAGAGAGATCACCGCGTCGAATATAAGCAGAGATAGATGGGGGATTGAATACAGATTAATACCATCATTTTTAATCTTTAATTGTAATAAACAAAAAAATAAACAGAAAAAGAGAGAGAGAGGGAGAGATTTGTCCAAATAATAGAAAAAAATTGACTCACGTGCCAGTATAATTATATATTCAAAAACAATCAAATAAATTATATTTTTATCAGAATACATTTTCACCATCAATCAATTCCAATTGAATAAAATATTTTTATTACAAATAATAATAATAATAACGAATATTATAATTATCCATTACTTAGTTTGCTGTATCAAAAATTCGTTTAATATTAAAATACTCATAAGAAAAAAAAAAAATAAATCACAAATAAAAAAATTAAAAAAAGCTAAACAACGAATAAAATATTTATCCAATTAATATAGTACATGTTATTAAAAAATATATATATATATGAATATAACAGCACGTGTTGAAACATTAAAATAATTCTAACAAAAATAAGATGATAAAATAGAAATCTTCGTAATATCACTTTTAACGCGAGTAAAGAAAAAATGGTAATGGGGATAAAAAGAAAGAGAAAATGACGAGATAGTTAAGGAATGAGATCTGGAAGTCGTTGAAAAGCAAAATAAGACAGGGAGGCAAGTTCATGACGGCAGACATGTTGGAACAGGTTGCGGAGGTAAGTAAACGAGGGGTTGAAAAAGTTTGTAGGCGGATTAGCGCGGTCGATAGGTGTTGCAAGTCTGAGTTATCGTATAAAACTAGTTTCTGAAGTACGTGCGGTAAAAGAAGGGACGCCACCCTTCTTCCTCTTTATATACACACACATATATATATATATATATACACATCTGTATACAGATACACACTTATACGCTTCGAAGGATTTCGTGTTGCTTCGGATCGTCCTCGTTTCGTTGAAAAGATGAAGTAGGAAGAAACGAAATAAACAAAAGAAACGAGAAAGGAGGAAATAAAAAAAGAAAACAAAAAACAATTGAGAAAGGGTTGAGCAGGTATTAGATTATAAAAACGTGGAAAGGAAGGAAGAGAAAATAGTATGGGGAGGG